CCCCCTCTTTTTCCTCGGGCAAGCCGGAGGTAAAACCGCCCACTCCCCTTTCGGTCCACGAACGAAGTGAAGTACTACTTAAATTGTGATAAAAATATAATTACCCTCTGGGTGCGGGAGAGACTGGCGGTGAAAACGGCGCACTTGTACTTGGATTAGCATTAGCACTAGACGTGTCACCAGCGACAGAAGCGGAGGATGGTGATGGTGAGCTCGAGGCGGGGGATCGCACCTCGACGTCAGCGAGAAGACCCTCTTCTTCAACGCTTTGTTCGTGTTCGTCTTCAGTGTCGTCAACGCTGCCGCTGGCTTCTTGAGTCATTGTCAGATAAATGGGGAAATGATGGTTTCTCAAATGGTTCCTCAAGTTTGTGGTGTTTGAGTTTTTATGGGGAACTTCCGCCTTTTTCCCCGTACAATGATTGCAGACGGCAATGTCTTTCCCGGTTTTTTGGAAGTGCTCCCATACTGGAGAGCTCTTGCCCCCACCCCGCTTACTCCCTCGCCTCATGACTAACGCACTGACCGACACTTGACTGACACTGACGCGACTCTTCGAGCTTCGACGCGACGCGCGCCCAGGGGCCACCGCTGTGGTAAAGTTCATCATGTTCATGTCGCCCCTGCGGCCCTCCCAGACATGTTGTCAGAGAAAGGCACCACCAAAGAGAGAGAATTTTGTCCCCATGCAAAAAACAAAAAAGGAAACTGTCAACGTCAACTTACATGAAGCGGTTCCTGAATTAAGTGAGCATCCAATCTTGGAAGACACTACAGCAGAAATTCAAAAAGATGACAATGACAAGCCACTTGATCCACCAGCAAAAACTGGGTGGATTCATACCTCTAAAACATCACTGGTTCTACCCCCTGACTGGATTTTCTGCAAGGTATTGCATGATGATATGCAAGTTGTGGCATACTTAAATCCACATACTACTCAAATAGACAAAAAAATTAAATTTAAACATAAATGCCCTTCAGAAATTGTATTTAGAGGTAAAATTAAATTTCAAGGGAATTATACATCACCCATAAACAATCTGCAAGAAGCACAGAAGATACTGAACTGCATTGATATGATGAAGGTCTGCGAAGGAACTGGCTTAGAAGAACACCCTTATAGTGAGGCATGTAATGGTCCAGCAGTCCCAAAAGGGAAGAGGTGCTCCTTTTGTCATAAGGAATTAGGGAGGCTACGAGCAAAGCAAGCAAGAAGAGACCGAAGGAAGCAAAAATTAGAGGAGAAACGGTTAAAACACAAACAGCAGAAACAAGCATTAAAACGATCAAATAAAAAACTTAAAGCAAAGATAAAAAAATATAGTACTATGACAATTTAAAAAAATAATTTTGTGTACATTTGTCTTTGGAAGTAATTTGTTATTTAAAACATTTACAGATCAACAAGTACAAGGAAGAGATCAAGCAAATACTGCTTAAGTGCAGTGCTAAAAATAAGTCATTGATGAGGCTATAAAAGATCTGCCCCCTGCCCAGCAAGAAGCAGTGAGGGCTTGCTTTGAAGCAGCAAGAAGAAAGTCTCCTTGTGGAAGGCGATACACAATTCAATGGGTGTATGAGTGTATGCTGATAAGGATAAAGAGCCCTGCGCTGTACAAGCATATCATAGATCATGAGATTCTGCCTATGCCATCCATCACAACAATTACAGGGTACCTGAAAAAGTACAGAGGAGCGTATGGGTTTCAGCCAGCAACATTTCACTTACTGAAAAAAAAAGCAGAGGAACTTGAAAAGTAGCCAAATAAAAGGAGAGGTACAGCATGAATTTCTTTTTTTTTCACATAA